ATAAATAATAATAAATATTAATGTTTTTACTTTTTAATTGTGAAACGAATGTGAAATGATACTCTAAATATGAAATTAAAACCACCAAGTCTTAATGTGTGAGTCATTCAGTCAACTGATTCGTTCAAACAGCTGATTCATTCAGGAACGAAGCATGTGACTGTCTTTATGAATAGGTGAATCGTTGAATCATTGGTTCACTCGATTCATTCAAAAACGAGCATCCATTAAATAATGAAACACCATTAGTTAGTTACTTGGGTAGGTAGTAATTATTTTGAAATATCAGTCTCAAATGAATAATCAGAATTACAATTGGTGGCTGACTAAATACTTTTTTGCCCCACTGTATGTGATCCTATGTTTGTTTTGACCCCGTCAGGAGCGACATGCTGCAATTGTCCGCAGGAACAAGGAGCTGAGGGAAGAACTAATAGCGTGAAGTTATCCTCCTCCTTATACCCTTCATCAGCCAACCCGTCATCCTATCCTGCTCACACACACACACACACACACACTCACACACACACAACCACTGGTAAACACCAGTCAGAACAACTAGTATCACACTCGTATACTGTTTGAACGGTCTTGCTTGATTTCATAGAGTAATGGGAAGACACAAGTATTATTTTGTAAATACATCTTTTTTTTTATCTCTCACTCTTTCTCTCTATCTATCTATCAGATTGAATGATAACAAATCAAATGTATCAAATCTCCTTGATACATCATGTTGATTCTTTCATTATTGTTTGTCGATTTCGCAGTTGTTTTGGTTGAGGCACGTCTGGGTTGATCATGTGAAAGGTTTTCGATGTTGTGAGTAAGCTGCCCGCTTACGTTTGCAGTGTTAAATGATGTGAAGTTTGGTGTAATTGTAAAGAATGCAAAAAGCTTCAGTGCTCAGGCCCCAGATTTCCATTTTAAAACGCAAACCTACCCAGACTCATGAATATATAGTGCACTTACGTTTATATACAGCATGATCAAGACATTTTCCTGAACAAATAGCTTGAAATATGAGTACTGAAACAAATAAAAACATGTTAATAGTGTTTCATTTGTGAGCAAAATGTATGTTTAGTTTCTTTGCTTATTATCCTTACATAAAATGAAATATCATGCTCTTGAAATGTTACGCACATCTGCATGTCGACCTCGGCAAACGTACTCTTTTGTTGGCTGATGTTTGGAAACACTGCACCCTTTCTGGACCCTTTGGATGAGAGTCTAGACAGCTTGACATAGCCTGCGTTATATTACAAAAGAAAATAAAAAAATAACCAGCCGGATCTTACCCTGTTGCTCCCTATGATCCAGGTTTTCTATTCGTTGACCTGCCCCGTTCCTCTACATTGATTCAGGCCTTCGGCACTCAAGGCTGATGTTCGTCATCTGTCTCTAGCAGGAGTAGACATCTTCATTAGTGCAGCGGTGTAATTAAGGGAGTCGTATATCTCTGAATGTTCTGGCATCTGTCTGGCTTGATAAAATAGGTAACATCTTTACCAGCTGAATGTATCCTCATATACTCCCAACTACAGCCTTTGACGTGTGACTATTTTCTATTTGGTTGATTTTCGTGCGACTTGAGTGAGTGTGTGTGTGTGTGAGTGTGTGTGTGTGTCCACGTTAGGTTGACACGAGCATTTGTGTCCTTTCTCTCTGGAAGTGAAGTGATGCGGAATATGCACTGAATGATTATGATTTTACTTGAATTTGTTTTTCAAATCACTGTCTCCTCTATAAATATGCTTGAAGTGTCTTCGGCTGCCAAAATTGTCTTTTCCCTCTCTCATTTCTGTGTGTGCAAAATTTGGTGAAAATAAAGGTTTGGGGTTCTGTGAACATGGTTTTACTGTGTTGTTTGCTTTTTATGAATTATAACACATGGGCTAAGCTTATTAACAGAATATGCTTGAGAACTTACTTTCGTCTTCTAAATGATTTGTTTCATTTAATTATTTGGGTGTTATGGTGATGTAACATTGGTTTTCTTTTCCCTTCAGACATCTTGATTTTACACACAAGAATATACTGTATATGGATATGTGTGCATATATATATATATTCTTTTTCCAAGCTTACACCAGTTGCAGTGAAGAATCATTTCTATTTAAAAAAGAGTTTCAACAAAATATGTTTGCTATTAAAAGTAAAGACTGTTCATTTGTATAGCTTACAGATGGTGTAAAGCAAATAAATTAATTCCAAATCACCCACTCAAATCTCCTCTTGCCAATTCACTTCTCAGCAAACAGAGAAAAGAATAAATTAATACCATAAAACAAAGTTCTCAGAAGTATAAAAATAGAGAGCCATATTGTGCTATTATATATATTTTTTAAACATGATTTTTTTTTTAATTTAGCTTATTCATTAATATAAAATTAAATATATTTCAAATATTTTATCTTTGCTTTTAGCTTTGCAATTTTCTTTCCTTGCACCATAGTGGTATTTTAAACATTTTCATAGCTTTAAATTACACATTTGATTTGAATGAATGTTACAGTATATTTTGATGACTTATTATTCTTACTTTAATGAAATATAATATAAAGATAGATCGATGTATATCTGTTTTGTATTGTCATTCTATTATAATCTTATTTTTTTATTTTACATATTTATTTTTATTTAATTATTTGTATTTTTTAAATTATGCACCATTTTAGTGGGAAAAATAAAAATAAGTAAATAAATAAATAACCTTTTGGTAGGAATGCTCTCTTTTTTTCTGTCAGACCGTCCGCACTGATTCCAACTGCACCAGCTGTCTCAGCAGCTTCCAGCCCGTGGGAAAATATGTGGTAGGCAGTAATTGATTCAGCTCTGCTAGTGCAGCAGAACAAGCAATAAAATAATCAGCCTCTGCGAGGAGCCTCTTATTGCTCTACATTTTCTTCTTTCTTCTTGTATTTCCCCTCTCTACAGATTCTTTAAACTAATTATTGTTCCATTGAGTGCAAATATTCAAAGACCTTTGTGCAATATTGTAAGCCTACTCCATTATGGTTTCATTCTGTATTTCCTGTCGCAGCTTACCACATACAGTATATATTACACACACACGCACACAAAAAGTTAGGGATATTTGACTTTCGGGTGAAATTTATGGAAAATGTAAAAAGTTCATGCTACAGTGATATATCATGAAAGTAGGGCATTTAAGTAGAAGCATGCAATGGTAATTTCTTCATCTCAAACAATTTATTGAAACAAAAGCTAACAACGGGTATGCCACAACAAATAATGTCAATGTCGCAATAACTTGACATATGTTCTTGAGCTTGACAACAACCTCTCATGCTGTTCACAACTCGACTTATTGTCTGCTGAGGCATTCCACTCTTCTTGAAGGGCTGGCCTCAGGTCATTGAGGTTCTGGGGTGCAGGGTTATGACCCTCTACACGCCGACTCAGCTGATCCCAAAGGTTTTCTATTGGATTCAGTTCTGGAGAAAGTGCAGGCCATTGCATTTGAGGTACCCCAGCCTCCAGCAGCCATTCCCTGATGATGCGACCTCGATGAGCTGGGGCATTGTCATCCATGAAGATGAAATCAGGCCTGTTTTGCTCATGCAGAGGGACAATGACTGGATGAATGATGTTATTCATGTAGTATTGGCTTGTCACAGTACCATTCTGGGCAGGTGTGTCTAGTCAATCAATACAGAACTGCCCTATATCTTGTGAATGGTACTGTGACAAACCAAAACAATTTGCTTTAAACATTTACAGCAAAATCAGAGTACAGAGTTTTTGCTTAAAATTAAAAAGCATATAATCTATAATTAGGAATTAGAGAATTATAATAGCCTATATTTGAAACATTTTCTTAGCCGATCCCTGATAGCACATGTACATCACAGAGACGTCTGCAAGACATTTTTTAGAGTGTTTGCTCATCTGCGATACGTCTATAGGACGTTTCCTATCAGATGTCAAATAGACGTTTTGAAGACGTCTTTAAGATGTTTATGATTTAGAATGTATGTAAAACTGACATCTTAAAGACGTCTATCAGATGTTTGTACACAGCAGATGCTTTCTAGACGAAACGATCTTTAACAGACATCTTGCAGATGTACGTGTGCTGTCTGGGATGCTAACCGGCTAGCTAACTATAGCTACCTGATGCTAACTTGAAGTCATTTTTAAATATAAAATCCAAATATTTTTATTCAACCAACTATTTTTTTGTACATTACAGCTGGGAGAGGTTGTACTTAAGATGTTGGGAAGATAAATAGTAATTATTCCAGTTATTCCTACAAAAGCACAGAAAAGATATAGTGAATTAAACTCTAAATTGCTGAATTAATTTGATTATAAGATTTGAAAGTAGCCATTTCTCAGACTGATAATAGGATTGTGAGACTAAAGCGTTGCTGTTGATTTGCATTGTTGTTGCTTGTGGTGGCAGGGACAGACTAAATACCAAATGTGAACTTTATTGTTGTTTGACATGTCAGTGAAATCATCTCCAGCTTTGATCCAAAGTGAATAAAAACAGAAACGAATGACCCTCATGTCTGAGTATTATGCTCTTTAATGTCAGGACTATAAAACACTGCTGTATATTCCGTATATTGTAGATTAGCTTTACTATTAATCATCAGCAGATGATTTTCAGCAGACTTCAACAAAACTCAACTCTTGTTTAAAGATGTCAAGTTAAACATATTGTTATTATTATTTGCACAATCAACATTTTACTATATGGGTTGGCTTTTTACCTAATCTAATATTCAAAAATCGATATTTCAAGCCCCGCCTTTCAAAATCTTTGAACCAGTCAAATTCTCAAATATCACAGCAATTTTACTGATTGGTCAGTGAGCGGAGATTGTGATCCTTGCACTCTTTAAATCTCCCTGTGTTCTGGCCTGAGCCTTTGCAACACTTTATATGCACATTAAACAAAAAAATCTTCTGTTGTAATCCTCCAGTTATTTCTTTGTTTTTATTAAATACTGATCATAGAATTAACAATGGTTGAACAGTTTGATGGTAAATGGAAAATGACTTCAAGTGACAATTTTGATGAATACACGAAGGCTGTAGGTAAGATACATTAATTCATACATAACTATGTTTTATTATTATGTATACTACTAATGTCACGAGGCAGCTGTGGGCCTATTAGTTCACCTGTTGTAATACCACTAATGCCATTATCTGTATTACAAGCAAATCTGTATTTGTTCACAGGTGCTGGTTTTGCCTCTAGGCACATGGCTAACCTAGCAAAACCCAGTCTGTCGATTGCTGTGGATGAGCTGGGGTGCATCTCTATGAAAGCTGTCACTACCTTCAAGACCCTGGAAATCAAATTCAAATTAGATGAAGAATCTGATGAGACAACAGCAGATGACAGGAAAGTCAGGGTAAGGATAAAAATAATAATATAGACTTTTCTATTTTAAAAAGTGTATGTGCGTGTGTGGAAAGTAGTTTATTATTTTGGAGCATAATTGGGTCCCTTTATTTTCATTCTTTTCAGACTACTATGAGCCTTGAAGATGGCAAACTTATTCAAAAGCAGACCTGGGAGGGGAAGACCACAATAATTGAAAGAGAGATTCAAGACTCCAAAATGATAGCGGTATGTGTACAAGCCATCTGCACAATATTAAAACACGCATTAAACATGAAAACAAAAAAAAAACATTAAAGCATGCTGCTAATCTTTCTCTTTCTCTCTCTTTCTCTCTCTTCAGAAATGTATCATGGATGATGTGGTCGCTATCAGGACATATGAGAAAGATGCGTGATGAGAGATGCACAAACTCTGGGCTTTAAGACCAATTAAAGACCTCATTAGATTTTAATTTGGTTGAATTTGACTGATTTAATGTGGAATATGAATTGCTTTGTTGCAATATATATATTTTTTTGCTTTGTAAACATAATAAAAAATACAAAAGATAAAATGTGTCTTTACTCATTTGACTGATGATTTATTGGATATACAATTTTTTTTGTTCCTATGTGACCCTGGACCACAAAACCAGTCATAAGGGTCAATTTTTTAAAATTAAGATGTATACATCATCTGAAAGCTGAATAAATAAACTTTCCGTTGATGTATGGTTTGTTAGGATAGGACAATATTTAGCTGAGATACAACTATTCTATGAAAATCTGGAATCTGAGGGTGCAAAAAAAAAAAAAATCTAAATATTGAGAAAATCGCCTTTATAGTTGTCCAAATGAAGTTCTTAGCAATGCATATTACTAATCAAAAATTAAGTTTTGATATATTTATGGTAGGAAATTTACAAAATATCTTCATGGAACATAATCTTTACTTAATATCCTAATGATTTTTGGCATAAAAGAAAACTCAATAATTTTCACCCATACAATGTATTGTTGGCTATTGCTACAAATATACCCCAGCGACTTAAGACTGGTTTTGTGGTCATTTCATTATAAGAATGAAATATGTGACCAAAGAGCTGAGGAATTGGAAAATAATGACATGAAATTACTAGTTGAGTATTATTACATAACACAGCATAACATAAATATAATTAGATAATACTATAGCAAACGCTTTCATTTGTATTTGGACCCAATAAAATGCCAATCACTAAGCTTACAAGAAAGAAGTGAGTTCCAATGCAAGTTTAGAGGTCAATGCAGATTTCTCATTCTCGCATTAGTTTGTTCAAAGACAGCCAATGCAACATTGCAGCTCTAGAATAAATATCATATACAATTTCCATTAAGCTGCAATTGCCATGCAGGTATGCGCTTCCTACGGGCCTGCAGAACACCCCACACTGTTTCCCATGCAAAATTATTTCAATTAGTTTGTGATATAAAATTGAAACAGCCTAAATTTCACCTCAAATGGCTGCCATGGCAAGATGCTCGACATCCAATCGCAACCATAAAAAGATATGATCCGAGCAGCATTCATCAGCAGCTCCTGGTGCCCGGTGAACATGTGATGTGTTAATCCTCAGCAGTCCAGCTCACAATGCTTTCCTGAGTCTAATAACCTCAGTACCCCCAGGATTAGCACTATAGCAGCTGGAGTGGCTGACCATGCGCTCCTTGCAAACTTCTGCTTCTAAAATATACATTCTTCTTTCGTGATCCTAATCTTACTGAGTCTTATAATGCAATTTATATTAAAGCATGTGGTGTGAAAGAGGATTTTGATTTATTTGTAAGGATTAATATGCATTCAGCAGGATCGAAAGTATAATTAAACCAAATAACGCTTTCGGAGAAGCAGCAAAAACTGTGCATTGATATGCTTTTTTTGTATAATAATAATCTGTTATATCAAATGATGAAGCTTTATAGGGTCATGATATTGTTTTTTAAAATTGTTTTTATATTATTTAATAATAATAATAATAATAATAATAATTAATTTGCATAAATTCCAAAAATGCTGTATTTCTGTACATCTTCAGTGTTATTTCAAATAATGCAAGCTTAGTCATGATATATATATATATATATATATATATCCAAATTCCAAAAATGTCTGTATGTCTTCAGTCAGTGTTATATCAAATGGTGCAAGCTTTATATAGTCATGATATTGTTTTTTATTGTTTATATATATATTATTTGTTTATATTTATTATATACACACACACACACACACACACATATATATATATATATATATATATAATTATTATATATATATTCCTTTGTATAAATTCCAAAACTGCTGTATTTCTGTACAGCTTTAGTCAGTGTTATATCAAATGATGCAAGCTTTATAGGGTCATGAGACAGATTTAAGTCTGAGAAAGAGAAGCCTTGAATTTTCTCTGTGCCATTTTCTCTCAATGGTCCATTGTTTCCTAGACGTTACTTGTAAGGGACACCATTTAAAGACTGTCCTTACATTTTTCCATGAGCTTAAAATTCCAGGGAATTTGATAATAGTGGAAGAGATGTAAACAGTTTCCCAGTAAAACAATAATTCAAACTTCTTAAAAAGTGAAACAGGGATTTAGATAAGATAATTGCTCAATTGATATAATACCAAGCAGAAGCAAATGTTTGCTATTTTACTGCACTGAACGTGTGAATCTGTCTGTGACACTAGGTAATGTGTATCTGATGTGTACACAGAGAACTTCTGAATTTGACAGTGAAAAGAAAGTTCAACATTTCTCCATTCATCCTAATTAAATAGGACACTGGTAAATTGCTGTTTTGCTCCTTCAGTGTGAGGTATGGAGTCTCTTAAGGTAATAATAAAGAAAAAAAAAATAAAGGATACATAGGTATTTATAATGTTAGAGGTAAGTTCTCAAAATCAAACAATATTTACTGCATTTGATGAATTTTCAACGTGAAACATATTTACAACGTGATGTATGAGGAATACATTTTTTTCTTACAACACTGCCATCTGGTGTTTAATTTCAGCATTATCATATTTTCAATCTAATCTCTTTTGCATTAGGTTTAAAATGTCATTTAGTTACGCAAATTATGTAGAGTTATGCACACAGTTAAACACAGTTTTTTTTTTGTCTTTTATTTCGAAACAGAACTATTATCCCATGCAGTGTTTAACCGGAATGTTTTATCTCTATTGAAATGCCTCATAATTTTGGTCTTATAAGGGCAAGAGCATTCTGGTGATGCTATACTTTACATCTGGGGTGAAGATGAGATAAAACATATCTAAATAACATTTAAGACTTGATGCAACACTGATATTTATTAAAATAGTTCCTAAAGGATTAAAGTTGAAATGACTTTTAAACTATTAACTTTTATGTAGCTTAACTTTGAATCATTTTTATGGCACCTACAGACATGAAAGGAGGAACTTTAAAGCAAATCCCTATTACCATTACCCATGCATTGCTAAGGGAACAATAAAATGAACTTTTGCAGATTATATATATAGGCTATGTAAATTCAAAGTGAGTTTAATGAGTTTGTTTCTTAATTACCAGCACTGCACGTTGATAGCCAAACGTATAAACGGAATTTAATTAAATTATCATTTAATATTACAGCGGTTTTAACTGTTCCAACATGATTAATTAATTTAATAAAATAACGTAGGGCAGCTGGCCAAACGCTAAGTAACTCCAGTGGAAGTCATTAACTGACATTTATTTATCTAATTTACCATTGAATTACTTTTTTCTTTTTACTTTTAGCCTACTTAAAGATTTCCTTTTAAAAACACGGTAACCATTACCGCCAAAAGTGTCTGTTATGTGTGGAAAAGTACCTTAAGTTCCAAAAAGTCATGTTTGAGCGCGATTTAAACCCGGATGATTGTAACCACTCTAAGTTCGTCTGCCTTGGGGAAAGTGTGTCTCCGACATAGTGATAACACTCGTTGCCTTCTCTAGTGCAGCTCAACCAGGTCTCGTCCCATTCGTCGATATTTGTGATATCACAAATCCCGGAAAATATGCATTGTAGTCCAAACGAGTCATTCGTTGTAGTTTTTGAAAAGTGATTTCTGTTAAATAAAAGATCTCCTTTTGAAGTGGACTTTGAGCTTTGTAACTTTAACTTCGCAGCAACATTACAGACTAACTAAAGTTGAAAAAGTGAAAAAGCATAATAAGACCCCTTTAAAATAAGACCACCTTTCCTTTACGTATGTTTCTCAGCGCTCGGTACTTTTCTAACGGGAGCGCAACTGATGGGGCTTTTATTTTGAAATACTGAATCTGAGCGAAGGGAACGGCGTGATTGAGGAAGGCTTCACGGCGGCCGAGGACCGTTCACAACAAAGGCGAGAGGCAGATTTTTATTTAGAGTCAACAGTTTCATCAGATAAGCGCTAAATTATTCAGGGCCAGAAAGAGGAAAAACGACCGCCATCGTCGTGCTAATTGGGTAAGTATAGTTAGGTTATGTACATTTTGTTGTGCTCGGAGAAAAGACTTGTTTGGAACGACATACAGTATTATTAATACGCTTATATGTCACAACAACAAATCGACTGGTTGCATTTATTTGTTATAGTTATGCATATAAAAACTCTGTATCTCTCTATCTGATGTAACATCTGGATAATGTCAAGTTTCCAAGCTAACTCAGTTATCATGACTGATCTGAACATAAACGAGCTAGAAAAGCGGACAGCTCCTGTATTGATTTTATAATTACAAGTAACAGATGCGCCATAAGGAATGCATGGAAAAGAAACCCATCCTGGCCAGCTAACTTACTCAGCTGAAAACACGCCCCGGTGACTATTTTTGTCAACGTAAATAATAATGTTTTGCAACACATGACTGCACAGTCCAGTGGCTATTTTCTCGTGATTCGAGTGGATAATCTATGTAATGTGTATGTAAATAGCAGAGGCTGTAAACACGTCGCTCAGCCCCTTCTAGGAAATCAACGTTTGGCTATAAACAGCGCACACACAACAGCTGACTTCCTGCATGCTGAGCATTTCACTCTCCAACTGGAGAAATTAAACCATAACGTATCATAATACCCTTGCAAAAGTTACCATGGTACCATAGTTTCCGCGCCAAAATGCCATAGTTACTACAGTTATTGTTGCTATCTTAGAGCTGCAATAGATTTAATATGACATATGCTTCGAACTGTGACAGAAGTGTTTTGTGATCTCTCTTGTGCGGTTTTTGTGCTAATAAAAAAGAATTAAGCATAGAGAAACACTTTTGAGAATTTTTATTTAAATGATCCACATAGGATGAAGGCTCAACATAACTTGGGCTTCTAGAAAAAGCTGTTTTATTCTACATGAAGAGGGTCGCCCACTTGTGGCTGCTGCCATGCTTGCATCACGTGACTAACCTTATGCAATTGACAGAGATGGCAATAATAATTAAAAGCTTATTTTGCACACAGAAATGATTGAAATTGAATCCAAAAATGTACATTATATGAATGCATGTAGTATGAGATGTGAAATGGCACAAGACTTGCTCCATTTTGCTCCATTTCACATCTCATACTACACGGATTCAGCAAGTACAGCTGGTACTAAACAACTAATAAACAATTTTTTAAATTTTGGGGGATTTTGAAATTATTGTGTTTTTTTGTAATACTAACTCTCAAATTCATATCATAACTCTCATTTTATAGTGGAAATTATGGTTACCATTTCAATATATTTTTGTAAGGTTAGACATGACAAGTGTATTACAATGCCCTGCAGATCTGGGGCACTTTGAGGTTTCTAAATGTTTTAATGATTGAATTAAACATATTTTTGTAAATTTTGCCAATGAGAAGCTTAAAGAGATTGTTTATTCAAAAATGAAAATTCTTCCATCATTTACCCACCCTCATGTCATTCCAAAACGGCATGACTTTCTTTCCTCTGTGGAACATAAAAGAAGATATTTTGGGAAATATTCTTAAAATCTTATATTTTTTTAATTTTATTTTAGCCTTTTTTTATTAGGATAGGACAGTATATACTGACAGGAAACGAGGAGGGGTCAGGATTGGAAAAGTCTGTGAGCCGGGACTCTAACTCGGGTCACCCAAAGCATAATGTGGCTGTATGTTGGCACGAGGCTATCGGCACCGACCTCAGTGTTTTTTGTTTTATTTGGTCCATACAATAGAAGGGTCATTCCGTGTCAAATCAACCAAATTTCTGAATTTGCCCCGGCTCAAATTTTTTATTTTGTCAATATTTTTCTGAAGAAAGATAAACATGTATAGTGATAAAAGCCAAAATATTAAATGTCATCACTGAGTAATCCTCTATTTTGTGGGGGTGGGGGTCAAAATGACAATTTTAGCAATCTTTGTTGCATTATATGCCAGTGGTGACTGTTCAAAAATGGGGAAAAAAACACTTTTCAGTGTGTATCAGCCATATGCAAAGTGACCACATTTGGTTTTCAACATCAAAAATGGGTAAAATTCCACAAATTGAACATTGAGTCACATTCTGCTATGTCTCTGGGATTGAACATACAGGGTCTTAAAAATGGAGATTACAAAAGAAAAGTGTATTAAGAACTTTACTAAAAAGTTTATTTGGAAAAATAATATTTATGGCACTCGGACAGGCATGTTCTCCACTATTTTTTTCATACAGGGAAACAAGATTAGGGCTGCACGATAAATCGCATGCCTCCATCATGTGCATTCAGATGGAGCGGCATTTACTACACAGAGCCATAGTTCACTGACAAGCTACAAAATATCACATTCATTATCGCAGGCAATTAATCTGCGATTATGAACGCGCTATTGCGTAGCTTGTCAGCGAACTACGGCTCTTGTGTATTAAATGCCACTCCATCTGAAAGCATGTGATGGAGATTTACTACTATCACAGAACCGGCTTTACTGACAAGATGTGCATGACAATTGAATGCGATTTATCGTGCAGCCCTAACCCTTTGGTTACCAACATTCTCCAACATTTTATATTTCACAGAAGAAAGAAAGTCAAACAGGTTTGGAACAATGTCAAGATGAGCAAATTGTGACAGAATTGTCATTTTTGCCTGCACCATCCCTTTAATGGTTTGACACCCCTCTTTAAAATATAGTTCACACTTATCGTTCTGTATAAGCCAATGCAAGACCACCCAAAAATATGTTAACCATGAAACTAGGCCAGACGAGTTGTGTTTTACCCATGAGGTTGCATGTCTGTGATGAAATTGAGTCAGTTTTTGTAAATGGCCCTATTTATTTTTTCTGCTGTTGGGATACTATATTCATAAAGTCGGTGTAAATATGAATACAGCTGACACCTCAGGTGTCCATGACTCCATGTTGACAGATGGCATTTGTGGGGGCATAACTTTTGCCCTGCTGAATCCTGCCCCTCGACAGAACCTGCTCGCAGTATGTCGACAGCAGTTGGCGAAGGGAGCCGGAAGCCCCTAGTGTTCCTGGAGGAAGTCTGTTTCGTTCCTCACAAGCTCCTGTGGAGAATGTGTCAGTGTGTTGAGACAATTAGCCATCTGCTTCTGATCCAAGACCTGTTTTCATTTTTCTCTCTGGAAGGTTGACAAGGATTGGCGTAGATGCGCTGGTTTTAGATCAGCTCTTAGAAGCGGCTACGCTATTGCAGGTCTTCTAAAGGGCACACATGTGAAGTGAGACATGTTTAGCATCTGCTTCTGTCAGGCCTCTCATGTGGTTAAATGCGTGGTTTTGTTTGTAAGTACTGTTTGGTTATGGTGGAGAGTCAGTTTGCTTCTAATAAGCACTTCAGGCCTGTTCCTGCATAATTTTACTGCATGTGGTTGTAAAGGTTATACATTTATCACAACTTCAAATAGGATATATTTTCCTTTGGCTTGTGTTTTGCTTATTAACATGCCTTGTGGTGGAGTTGGAGATTTTTCCGATGTTTACTATATGATGTAGCTCACTCCTATCTGATGAAGTACAGTGGACACATTCTTTGCTTTATTCTTATTTCCAGGAAGCGCACAATGTCGGCTATCTGTGGACCCACCGGCTGAAGAGGTCTGATCGTTCTGGAGAGCTGGGAAGCGAGAGATGGGGAACACAGCCACCAAGTTCCGCAAAGCACTGATCAGTGGAGATGAGGTTCTGGGCTATCAGCTCTACGAGGGCAACCCTCAGTTCAAAGAATCTCTGGACCCCAACACCTCATATGGGGAACCGTACCAACACAACACCCCGCTCCATTATGCTGCCAGACATGCCATGACGCGCATACTCAGGTAAGACATGGCTTTCAGTAATATTTAGTATTTTGCCATTCTGCTTATTTTTTTATTTAAGCTATCATTACTGAATGGCTTTCTGACTTCCAAATGTTTAATGATTCAATGTTTAACTTAATGGTTTTGTTTCTTATTTTCATGTAAATTTTCATTCAAAAATAATACAAAAATCTGTCATTATGTGCTCACCCTCATGTTGTTTCAAAACGGTATGACTTTATTTCTTCTGTGACACACAAAAGAAGATATTCTGAGATATTTTCACAGTTTTTTGTATTTCATAGTTTTTATTTATCTGTAACTGTGATTAATGTGTTAATAGCACTGTTTTGTTGTCATCCATACATTTATTAAAATACATAAAAAATGCAATTTACATACAACAGCTTGAATAAACCTGAATTAAAATTCATTTAGATATTTTTTGGGTATAGACTACAAACCATATTAGGTAGTCTGGCATAGGCTTTTAATATTATTTCTTATAAAAAATATTCTGCTTCCCTGCTTATTAAAATGTTAATATAAATTTAGGAATTGTTAAAAACATTTGTCTGCCAAATCATGGGCTCCAACATGAAAAAATGCAAAAGAAAATATTACACAAGAAATTATACCATAAAGAGGGCCTGAAGACCATTATGACTCTGTCAATAAGCGTTTTAAAATATCTTAAAATACATTTTCATGACAAGACGATGTTAGTTAATTGTGATGTGGTGCTGCTACCTGAAGATGTAATGATATTTATGAATTAAGAATTCATTAGAATGCATACTTTTTTTCCTAGGATAAATATATTTAAAAAAAATTTTTTACATAATAATTATGACATTCAATTCTTTTTTACTTGATGGTTAAAGATAAGGGTGCTCCGATCAGGATTTTTGAGGCCAATCGCCATCACAGAAAGCAGTATCTGCCGATACCGATCTTTTTAAAGCCTTCTTTTTATCATTTATAACTATAGTGATACTCCAATCAGGATTTTTAGACATTTATTCAGGGCCTAAATTTCATTTTTGAAAATGGGGGGAATTCTCCTCTTAGGTGACTCTTGTGAGAGGGGAAGCAGCTTTCACACAGGAGTCTGCTACTGATCCGTGGCTGTTTACCACAAACACAACATTTATCCATTATTTTAATTTCAAATCCAAACATTGTCACTGAAAATGCTTTTTCAGCATTGCAATTCTTTTTTTACACAGTACAGTAATACAATCTTTAACAGACATGTTTAAACACAATAAATATAAGCAACACATTATTCAATGCTTTTTACTTTTGCATTTACTTCTAGATTTATATATTAAATGGGGACATATGATGTTGCTAAAAAGAACATTATTTTGTGTATTTGGTGTAATGAAATGTGTTTATGCGGTTTAAGGTTAAAAAAACACATCATTTTCCACATACTGTACATTATTGTTTCTCCTCTATGCCCCGCCTTTCTGAAACGCGTCGATTTTTACAAAGCTCATCGGTCTGAAAAGCGAGGTGTGCTCTGATTGGCCAGCTAGCTAGTGCGTGTGACAGAAATGTTACGCCCCTTGTCATATTGTGATGCCTTGTCCTGGCTGGAGTGACGAGACAAAAACATTAAAAAACCCATTATAAACGAGGCATTTGTTGCATGCAGTGGGGACATAATTACGGATTATAATGACTTATACTGTCTTTTTACGTGTTGCATTGCATCGCGCCGCGGAAACATAAAACCATGTTTGCATTTGTAATTGTAACTACAAACGCTACTCTACACTGCTCAAAACTCGCGTTTGCATCGTCAGTGGCAAATTCTTTAAATATAAGAACGTACTTGCAGTCTGTGAGTCAGAACAGCTGACATTGTAGTCTACTCTACCAGGATCAGGAAACAGTCCTCCATAAAATGCGCAGCACACATCTGAATATTTGGGTTGAACTGTTCTGGAACAGTGTTGTAAATACAACTTAACCACTGATTTCTAGTCGTGTCCTCTTTTGGAAGACCAAACAAAGTAGTTTCGCTTTCACAATGAAACACAGCGTCACTCGTCCACGGTGAAAGCCGATCCGGCGATCCACAGCGCGAAGTTGATGTATTTCCTCAGCGACCAGCACGGATCAGCTCCAGGCATGACGAAGCAAATATCGTCCTCTTTTGGAAGACCAAACAAAGTAGTTTCGCTCTCACAAAGAAACACACAGCGCCTTCATGACATGGCATCGGCGGCAGCAACAATACTACAGCGAGAATAAAAGTTACACCTTCTTTCTTTGCGTGAACATTTGGGCGGCATTATGCAAATCTTCCCACATCATGACGTAGACCTGTGGGGGCGTGTTAGAACGAGCTGTTTTAGGTAGGTGTGGCTGACTCTTAACTTTTATAAAGAATATCTCTTTGGATTTGAGACTTTAGTCTTTGCAACTTTACAGATCTTCTTTATGCACCAAGAGCT